TGGCGAACGTCATAGCTGACTGAGTGAACCGACGTCACGACGGAAGATGTAGCGAGTGTCGTCACTTCTTTCTAAGTACGAATTCAGTCCGTACCTCACAGGAAACACACCCCGCCTCCATAACAACGCCCAACCGGTTAATGCTGTTTAGGGAAACAGTCGCTGTTTACTGTGAGAACCATACGGAACATATAAATACACTGTGTGGGCAGAATTCAGAATTTTTAAATGTAAACGTTATATGGTACACATAGTTACCATTGTGCTTTAAACGGTTAGTAGAGTTGTAGCTTGCCTTTACAGAGAAAATGAAGGCAGAACAAAGTGTGCACTGTAAGAAATCAGGGGAAGTGAATAGATTTCTGTTTAAAATAAACATACTTTAATTGTAGTATGGCTTTTTGGGTGAAACCGGATTAAACTTCACCGAGCAGGCCGAGCACCCCCCCCGGCCTATGGGCCCGTAATGCAGTGTGCATATTTACATAACTCGAGTGTTTTCATTTCTCCAGCGGTTTATTGGACTGCAGCGTGGCGGTGCGCGGGGCAATGTGAAGACAGGACGAAATGAGGGGGGGGGGGTGCAGTAGAACAGAGACACGAGGGCCGGATAAAGGCCTGGAAATGTTAGAAATTGAGAAGTTAAAATGAAAATAAAGAGAGCGAGGAGTGTAATAGGACGTAGAGAGATCAGACAAGCCTCAGTCACGAGAGGACAGCCAACTGCACCCTACAGTAAGGAGACATATCTCATAGTTCGTAAACCAGTGTCGGTAAATAGTGTAGCAATCAGCCGCAGCTTGATCCTCGGCGCGGGTCTCCTGTGAGACACAGCGAGAGCAGTGTGAAGCTGATTTACAATGCGTGATAGGATGGCACACCGGGGTTTGAGTCCCGTGACGGACAGGTCACTGTGTCCTTAGTAACTTTGGGTCCACACAGTACCGAGGGGGGGGGGTTGTGGGGTAAAGCGGCAAGTTCATGAAGCTGGATTCTTACCTCGATTCAGTGCCAAATTTAAGAATGCCTGGAGCTGCATCTCCACGCTCTTACATTTTTTGAAGTTGTGATTGTTGATTAAGCACGCTGAACGCTAGTGTGACGTGGTTGCACACGACGGTAGCCTAGTTATCCGTGTGGAGGGACAGAGAAAACCACGAGAACCATTATGACAACCGTTCCAGGGACCGACCCCCGTCCCCTGAAGCGGGAATACTGTCCACCCAGTCTTGGAGTTCGGATGCTAAGGCCCAGCATGTAGAATTCGTTTCAGAAATTGAAACCAAATATGCCGAGTGCTGCCTGCGAGTTATTTGCATAGAGATAGCTTGGCCAGAGTCCGACGTCAAGAACAGGAAATATATTTTAGTTGGCAGTGTGAGAGTCCACACAAACAGTTACCATAAATGTACCGCGGCAGGTGGAAGGTGGTCGATAGGGGCCAATGTTGGCCTCTTATGAACGCGGTAATGAACCTTCGTGCCCATAAAACGCGAGAAATTTCGTAAATGGCTGTGATATTAACTTCACAAAAAGGCATCTGTTTCATTATTTAGTCAGTTATGTAGCTCAGCGCAGCTGTAATTCATCCCACTCGGTTAGAACCTGGACGTTAGTGCCGTTTTCGTAGTTTTCCTCAGGAGTTTGCAGATCAGAGCGTCGCCATGGCTACCGGATCCTGAGCTCGCTGGAGCGAGGGGCTTGTGATCGGCAACCTGCACAACGCGATGTGTCCCCCCCCCGTCATACACGCACCTTCTTCCGGTGCACTTCCTTCTGTTGTTTTTGTTCTTGTTCTTGTTGCTTTTCTGACAGCGAACGAGCCGTGAAGCCGACGGGACCGGAAGGGTGACAACAATATAAGTCATGTCCCCTTGTGGCGGGATCAGCCCTGTGAACTCTGGGGGGGGGCAGTACCTCAGATGCTATAGTGACCAGCAATAGGCCGTACGACCGAGGTTCGATTCCCGACAGCGGAAGAAACCAAGACTAGCTTCGAACCGACACACCGTCTTATCCAGTGGGGACTGCGGGCAGTTTCCTGTAGTTAAAGCGGCTGGAGCGTGAAGCTGACCACCTAATAAGATTGAAGAATTCTGAGATACATCGACGCGCCTTCCTGTTATCGCGGAAAATGGAACTCTTCCTAGTGACCGTTGTGAGAATCTCCAGAGAGAGCCTTACATTCCGTGTAAGTGAGGAGACGGGGCTGTTTGCTTTGGCGAGGCCCCAGAATCATCGCCGTTTTTATAATGACTTCAGCTTCGGCAGGTCTCGCGTTCGGAATGTTTGAAGAACTTTTTATCAGCTTATGTTATATAAAAATTCCATTTAACTTTGATCCTGATGAAAGTTTAGGACAGCCCTGTTACAGGGTCGCTGTTTCTCTGTGTTCTGTCTCCCTCCATCCACTGCTTCCCTGTTTATGTCCCTCTCACCCCCACCCATAGCCTGCAGCGTGAGAGCACAGAATTTCACGCTTCGCGGTTCCACGACTTCAATCAATCACATGGAGGGTTGCTACCCCACGATGGTGTGGGGGTGTTTTAACTGACAGGCGCCCTCGTTCTCATATAACTTTGCTTGCATAATTAATCTTCATAGCCAAGAGCCCTTAGGGTGCAGTTCAGAAGGGGGTTGGGGCGAGATGTGAAACGGCAGGCATCAGATTACAGGGATGCTTCTCCAGTTCACGCGGCCGAGTGACCGCGCGGGAAGGCGTCTCTTGTACAGCATGGCCGTACCGCGAGGTGCAGGGACGAGATACTTGCACATCACTGTAACAGCCGTGGATGCCGTACATAGCGGTAAAAATATGGAGTGCATGTCATAAGACCGATATACTCGGGTGTAATGGGAAAGAGAGCAGTTATGCCGGTGCAGTGACGGCCATTTTAGTTTCGCGTGATGCTCGTGTGTTTACTTCCAGAACAAGTGACAGTCAGGGCCTCCCGTGGAGCTCCGGCAGGCCTCGTGACAAAGGCTCCCCGGGAAGAGCGAAACGTTTGCGTTTGACGTACAGTTGCTGCAAACGGAACGAATGGGTGGTGGGGTCGAAGGGAGGGGCGGAGAGCTGCTGTACCTCGGCTGTCACTGGGCCCACACTGGGCTGCGTGCGCTCTTACGCCGTGGCCTCCCCTCAGTATAGGTCCAATTCCAATCCTCGTAGTGTGACGTCATAACATGCATTTTGCCCTTTCAGTTATTACCACGATTTGGGGGGGCGCCGCTATAGACGGGGTATGGATTGGATTTTGGATTTATTGACCACTTGTATACGTCACTCGCAACTACACTTTGCAGATCACTGACACACACAGACAAGTGTCCTCAGTCTATTACAGCCTCCATTAACCGTTTCCTGGCAACGGCTTTATCGAGGGAGATTCTTCATTTTTCCGCACTCAGATTCTGGCTGGCGGCCATTTCACAGCAACCTCCGAGTCTTCTCTTCACAGGCTGACTTTCAACTGAACTCTCACCCACCAGCCAGCTACTTCACTTCACTTCACTGAACATAACTCCTTACAACTTCAACCAACAACTAACTCGTTGCTTCAGACTGTCCTGCTTATAACAGCTCGGCACGGACCCCATACAAAACACTTTTCCATTGTATACTCCAACCACCAATACCTTGACTGTTGCATGAGTAGCCGTTGCCGCGGGAACACGTTTACCGAAGTTGCCTAGCGATAGCTCGGGTATTGTTGACGTGTTTACCGGGACATTACCAAGCAACGCGGCTGTAATGTAGTGCGAAAAGAAAGAAGATGAAGACAAACTGAAGCTGCGTGCTGCTGACGTGCGGAAACTCTTCACACTGTTGCGTAACAGCGGCCACACCGTGCCAGAAGTGGTGGCGTTGCCAAGCGACAGGAACTACGTGTACTTTAAGACAGTGACGTCATTAGAACGGGAAATGAAATTGAAACAGTGGCACACGCATGGAGGACGCATGTAGACGACATCGCGCTGAGCGGTGGAGGTGGTCGTGGCCTAACGGAGACACTATCCCAGCATTTGTGTACAGGGAGTGAGGAAAACCACGAAAGTAGCTGGTGCCCCAGTCGAGATTGGAACCTCCTGCAAACAGATCTAGAGTCTTACGAGCTCGTATATAGGGCGTATGGAGGGCAATAGAAGCACGAAGCTAATAAGGAAATACGAGCCCTGCAGAAGGCAGATTTGGGTGGGGCGAGTTGGACAGATAACACATGTCTGTGTTTACACAGACGCCTGCCGTCTCCCCACCAGAAGTGTGAAGCGTTGTCCGTCGCGCGAGGCACATTGCCCCTCAGGCTGAGGGCCTCGCGTGTGACGTCAGCAACAGCTACTCCACCGCGATGCAACTTGCTGGCTGCGTACCACGCGCCATTATGTGAGATTCATTTGAGGGCACCACCTCTCAATTGGAAACTGAAATTAGTATCATGTGACTGCGAGAAGGCGTCAGCCAGTCAGACACTTGTGCCTCTGCCTTCATTCGTCATCCACAGCTGAACGCGCGGAGCAGACGAACTCCATAGATTCATTCTTGGGTCCCAAGTCTCGGACTCCCCACCGCGGCGGCCCGCCTTCGATCACAGGCTAGGTAATGTGGGTCTTCTAATGGACGGAGTGGCGCTGGGCCATGATTTCTCCAAGCACTTCGTTTTCCCCTGCCAATTCTCAACACGTCTATCATTCTGAGCTGGTACAGTGGGCCCATTAGTGGCCGGTATACCAAGTGGTCGCTGCCTCAGATCGCTTCGTGATCTGAATCTGGTAGTTGGGTTCCAACGTTTCGAAGGAAAATATTGCAGCCTTCTTTAGGATAGATTAATATTCCGACTTCGTATCTTGTGTGGCACTGACTCCTGTCTGGTTTGTTAACCCAATGAGCACACCAACTGCACATGCGGACTTAGCCAGACATATATACTTTGTGTGTTGTAGGCCTGGTGTGCAGTGGTGCCGGGTTCGACTCGCATCTCCGTGGTCCCAGCTTCCTGTTGGAGCCGCCGCCGAGGCTCGAGTTCTCCAACTCGAGCGGAGGGTGGCTGGATTGTTCTGCGTCGGGCAGTCCGCCGCCGTCGGTGGACTGGATGTCCGTGGATGGGTCGCCGGTGCTGGACGTGCACGGCGTGCGCCGCGTCCTTCTGAACGGGACGCTGATCCTGCTACCCTTCCCCCCCGCGGCGTACCGGCAGGACATCCACAGCACCGTGTACCGCTGCGTCGCCTCCAACGCCGTCGGCAGGATCGTCAGCAGAGACGTCCAAGTCAGGGCAGGTAATGATGCATACGCCCTGACCTGATAAGCCACAGCCGTAATGCATTCTGCCCACACACTGACAGAGAGGATGTTACATAAGGACTCTTGCCGCAAGAGTTCAGTTGGGGGAAAAGTCTCTGGTCGTGAGCCTCAAGGGGCGTGACGAACTGAGTGGCGGTAAAGTGACTCTGACTGGCTCACACAGTGACAGAGAGGATGTTACATAAGGACTCTTGCCGCAAGAGTTCAGTTGGGGAAAAGTCTCTGGTCGTGGGTCTCAAGGGGCGTGACGAACTGAGTGGCGGTAAAGTGACTCTGACTGGCTCACACAGTGACAGAGAGGATGTTACATAAGGACTCTTGCCGCAAGAGTTCAGTTGGGGAAAAGTCTCTGGTCGTGGGTCTCAAGGGGCGTGACGAACTGAGTGGCGGTAAAGCGACTCTGAGTCTGACTGACTCACAGTGTATTTATGTGTTCCGTATGATTCTCGCAGTAAAGAGCAGTTGTTTGCCTGAACATCAACGAGTTTGTCTGTAAAGGAGATGCTGTGTTTTCTTTGCAGTAGGAACTGGATTTTTAAATATTATTTAGTCTTCAGATGAACGCTGAGTTGGTTCCCAAATTCGCTGTTACGTGCCTCTCATACAGTCCTCCCCACATCACCTAAATATATGCAGCACTCTTGGCTTTAATATAAAAATTCTGATAATGTGCACTAAAACCATTCTGAAGCACCTCCCAACGCTTTACCCTCTTTTCAACGTATTTTTGCAGAAGGACGAGCGGGCGCACTGCCTGCGGACGCTCAAAGTAGGGACAATTTCTGATCACCTTCCTCTTAAATGTAGCAAGACTCACTGCTTCCCCCCCCACTTCTCCCCTCCTGTGTCTAAGAAGCAATTCCTATTGCTAAAGTATACCCGCAAACTTGTTGATGGCCAGGCAACATGCAACGAAGTGCTAATTAAAAATAATCTCTTCCTTTTTTGAACGAAGTGAAGTGTAAATTGAAAGGGGTAGCCGGTCACGGTAGCCGAGCGGTCTAAGGCATGCACTGTCTTCGCTCGCTCGGATGCCAGGATCGTGGGTTCGAATCCCACTCAGGGCATGGATGTTTAGTTTGTGTGTGTGCGTTTTTCTGTGTTTGTGTGAGGTAGAGGCCTTGCGACGAACTGATCACCCGCCCAAGGAGTCCTACCGAACGTGTAAGATCTAGAAAAGCCTAAGTGAACGGAGAAGTTAATGGAGGTAGGCCTAGGCCCCCTGGGGCTGTAGTGCCGGGGGGAAAAAAATTGAAAGGGGTACGCGGGACAAGGGCTCAATGTTGAAGTTGTGTTGTTCGAACTCCGCCGGGTTTTGTACAGGTGAAGCAGTGATTTCGGAAATGTCACGAGTCATCAAATTGGAATGATCCATCATTTCAGTTCAATCGCAATTATTAACTGACGGTTTCAAGAGACTTTTCATTTGTTGTACAGGTTTGGATGCAAATTAACAATATCATTCACTTGTCGGTAGAGCACTTAGAAATGCTGCATACAGTTAGGGCCTGTTGAGTGTTTGCAGGTCAAATTGCAGCTGCTCGCCCAAGTACACAAATTTAAACAGTTTTAGTCTGGCACAATGATGCTACTTAAGGGGACCTGTAACACTGGAACAGAAATATAGGCCTAGGATGCAGTTGTGTCCTAATCCTCATTAAAAACCTGAGTTGTTTATAGTAGCGAAAATTTCAGATTCGAGTGTTTGATTTCGAAACGAAACGAATATCAATTAAATTCAGCCAGTAATCCGGAAACATTATAATATAGAGTGTTTACGTCATTATGAAAAAAGGTTTAATCGTTTATAGCACTGTGGTAACTGGATATCTGTATATACTATTTGTTTTAAAGTTCAAGAACTCTGCATTCTGCCCACACAGTGTATTTATGTGTTCTGTATGGTTCTCACAGTAAACAGCGATTGTTTCCCTAAACAGCATTAACCGGTTGGGCGTTGTTATGGAGACGGAGTGTGTTTCCTGTGAGGTACGGACTTCAAGATACTAAAACTCTGCATTCTGCCCACACAGTGTATTTATGTGTTCCGTATGGTTCTCACAGTAAACAGCGATTGTTTCCCTAAACAGCATTAACCGGTTGAGTGTTGCTATGGAGACGCTGTAGGCTTATAACGGAAACTCCTTAAGCAAGAAGTACTCACAGAGAACACACTGCCTCTCCCTTACAAAGACAAATGAGTTAGTGGTGTTTTGGGGGAATAACCATTGTTTATGTGAGAATCATCACAGGTACCCTGTGTGACCTAATGAGGAGTTTCTGGATGTTAATGCAGGTGGCACATATAGTAACCACTGTGCTGGAATAAATATCGACGCATCCGCGCTCTGACTTACCGGTTGAGCGACGGAAGAAAGGATCTGTCCTGGGGTTTGGAGCCCCGGATGAAGGAAATAAATCCCAATTGTGCCAGGCTGATGTAATGGAGTGCATTATGCCCCCAAAGTTCGCATTTGGGCTGCGCTGTGCCGAGCGAGGCCGTAAAAACAAGAAAATGAAAAGCAAAGTAACATTTATTAAGCAGTGGAATGAAAAGAGACGCGAAGCCCATTTCCCAGTGTTATATTCAAGTCTGTAACTTCGATGCTCACGCGTTTTCATGCTGTTTTGTTTCTCTTCCTTCAGTGCTGCCAACTTTCTGACTTGTCTTTATCATTTTGTATTACACGCATCGCAGCTTTTCAAGAAAAGAGAGTTTTCATTTCTCTGCGCCCCCTTCTCCTTGATCTTTAGTCGCTGTTTATTTTCTGTCCTGTCATCATGTCAGTGACTCCGTTCCCATGGCAACGTGAGACCTGCGTCAAGGTGGGCCCAGAATTACATAATTGGGTCACAGCACAGCGCGTTTGAGGGCCGCAGAGCGCGATTTCCAAGAAGCAGAGCCTTCACTTTCTCTCTAATTCCCTCCCTTAACGGAAACAAATATTTATGACGTCACAATGCAGTGTGTCCCTTTCCAAAATTCGAACCTATGGCAGATTTTCACGTCAGTTCCTACGAAGTTTGTGGTGCCAGAGACCATACGGAATTCTGAGGTGAGAGCGACAGAGATGCCCGCGGGCCTAACGCGGCAGCTGTCCCGTGTTGCGCGCGGTGTCTTTCACATTTGGCTCCGTTTGTTTCCAGTGGTGGCGCAGGAGTACAAGCTGGAGGTGGAGGTGCTTGGCGCTTCCCGTGGCTGCACGGCCGTGCTTCGCTGTGTCGTACCGAGTTTCGTCAAGGAACTGATCCGCGTAGTGTCCTGGGTCCAGGAGCCGTCCTTCTACATCTACCCATCGCTACAAGGAGGTAAGGATCCACCGTTTCCTCGGTGTGGTGGCCCATAGGTTCGCGTCTCCATGAGCACAGAAACTGACGGCTGTGACGGTGGTGGTGGTGGTGGTAGTAGTAGCAGCAGCAGTAGTAGTAGCAGTAGTAGTAGTAGTAGTAGTAATAGTAGTTTAACACTGCGAATAGCTCAAACTATGTGCTGGCGTTAATTAGATTATGCTATAGGGCCTATAATGAATTCAGAAGTATGTGAAGATACAAGTTGTGACATACTTTAAAATACTGTTCCAACATGTCCCTAGAGGCTGAGGAAAACCACGAGAAACGGTAGTCAGAATAGTCGGTGGACCTCCCTAATGGTAGCAAGAAGTCTGCGTCAACTTGGTCGATTGGTGACGAAGTTAAACGTAACGGTAAACGTGCGGGGATCGAACCCAAGCCCCCCAGTCCAAATACTGCCGCTTTGCCTGCTGACCCGCCGTCAACAAGAGAGCCAGTCGTAACGAAGCAGGAAGGATTTGGGGCAACTCGCCTGTCGCGTGCACCTGCACCCGTCAGTCCGTTTCTGTGCGAAGGCTGAGGAGCCAGTTTGCGTGTAAGGTCTCCGTGTCTGTTGCCTTGCGGTAAACCCTCGCTAATCCGGACGGAAAACTTGAAAGAATGTTCTTCGCAGGCGAGTACACACGTGGCGTTTGGGAAGACAGACGAGTCACTTGTCTGTTCAGACAAAACTTGAGACAGTCTCTTCAAACCTGCATCATTACGCTACAGGTAAGACGTTTAGTCGCCGGATTTGAAACCAGGTCACGTCGTGTGGGATTTGTGGTGAACAAAGTGACACTCGTGTGGCTTATCGCTGTTTGCCCTGCTGCTCCACATTTCATTAATCATCCGGCGCTGTATGAGTGTAGTGTTGGATCCCGCATGGAGGCCATTTAGAATAGCTCCACCGTATCCTTGCGAGTCGTAGAAGGTGATGAAAAGGGAACCCGGTGCGGAATATATAGACCTGATCCTCCAGGTTGGGGGGGGGGTTAGACACAGGGTTAATGATCTTACTCTGTAAAAAACCATTTCTGCGAAATTCAAAGACATGAAAATGGGATGCAGTCTCACAGAATCTTCTAAGGAAGGGCTCCTTTTCCAGTGATGATGCTGATGGTGATAGCGCCGTTAGAATATCAAACTGGAAAGCGAACTGTGTACCTTGATGCTGTTTAGACGAACTGAAGGCCCTTGCGTGTTAATTGTGAAGTTAGCAGCAACTCATGGGTCAGGTTGGGGGGCCGCTGTGCAGTCGATGTTCGAACCAACTTTTGATCACGTTTCTTGCGAACAGTTTGGGCGCTAACTTCTCTCTGTGTTAATCAGGAGTTCTGTAATGAAGTGAAGAAGTTACCGGACGAACTGACGCAGTTACACGAGGAAACTGGGCGAGACTCACGTGGCTGCATACAACAGTTGACGCTCACTAACAGCGGTTGAGAAGTGTGAGCGCGGGATACACGGTCACACGCAGGCCTCAAGGCGTAAAACTGCTGACGTTACGCAATTCCTGGTTACCATAGCAACGAATTGTCAAGTGCTAACATGTTGCATGGACTTAAGCCTTGTAATAGATCACAAACGAGGAAGCTGTCTTTTGTTTGTGTATCGTGTCTATTCTGTGACTAATGATAATATTTAGATGTGGGTATATGAAGGAGACGAATATTTACGATTGACTGTTTGTGCATGTTATTCTTGGCAGATGCTTTTAAACATCGGTAAGATGTGTGACTGGAAAACACTGGAGGAAGAAGGGAAAGTTTATGAACTCTTGTATAAGAAATGATGAGACTTCCGTCTGAATTCGCAGCGCGTGACACAGGCGTCTTCAGAATGCGAGTAAGTAGGCCAGGGCCCTCTGTGCTTCGAGACAAGAGGAGAAGCGAACAGCCAATAATCGCTGGTACAGCTTATTGTGAAAATGACACCGCTGTGTGGAAGCTGACACGCGGTGGTTTTCTTATTCGCAAAAGAATGTAATTTCTTTAGAGATCTGTCAGTGTCCCGGAAAAGGGAGATTGTTAGACGCCATTGAGACTGATTAGTGCCATTGTAGTGTGCTTTCAGTAGCGCACCACCACAAGTTTCGAGCACTTCCCAGGAATAGAAACAGTCGAATAACGAGAGTTCAGTTCTGTAGTGCGGCAATTATGTATCCTAGCAACCGAACACAGCCGACCGAGAGACTCATAAATGCGAACAAAATAAATATGATAATGGATCCACGAATGCCCTAATCCAGTAGCAGATTCCACAGGCCTCGCAGAAAGTGTGGGTTGTGTTTGAATGGGGTCGCAGGTTCGAATTGTTAGCGTGACATGATCGCTGCCATTGTCAGCAAGAGTTCCTGCCCCTTTACCTTAAAACGTGGTTCCTCACAAAGAGAATCCGCAAGAATAGAGACAGAAAGAGGAAGTAAGCACGCATCGCTGGATTGTTCGTTCTTCTGAAACACCACTTCACCCTATAAAGCACAGTGGTAACTATAGATACCACCTGGTTTAACATTGAGAAAACTCTGCATTCTGCCCACACAGTGTATTCAAGTGTTCCGTATGGTTCTCACAGTAAGCAGCGATTATTTCCCTAAACAGCATTAACCGGTTGGGCGTTGCTATGGAGACGAAGTGTGTTTCCTGTGAGGTACGGACTTCAAGATACTAGAACTCTGCATTCTGCCCACACAGTGTATTCAAGTGTTCCGTATGGTTCTCACAGTAAGCAGCGATTATTTCCCTAAACAGCATTAACCGTTTGGGCGTTGTTATGGAGACGGTGTGTTTCCTGTGAGGCACGGACTTCAAGATACTAGAACTCTGCATTCTGCCCACACAGTGTATTTATGTGTTCCGTATGGCTCTCACAGTAAACAGCGATTATTTCGCTAAACAGCATTAACCGGCTGGGCTTTGTTATGAAGACGAAGTGTGTTTCCTTTGAGGTACGAACCGAATCTTTGTATATTTTTTCGTCATCAAAATGCTGTCAAATCCACATAAATTATTTTTCTAAATTATATATCGACATTAATTCAGAGAATCAAAATCCCGCGGTCCCTGTCTCAAGCCACTGCTCCTACCCATCCTAACTTCACTTTCACACTGCCTCATCAGAAGGACGAGAGGGCGAAGCCAAGGAACCTGGTAACAAAATGATATTCTTTCTCTCCCCCACAATAAAGTGTCTCTCACTTTTCCCACGATTTTTTTCACTTTATCTACTCTGCCCTGTACCCCTCTCCCTCCCTGTTTACTCAGTCCCTGGATGTAAAATCCAGGATATGACTTCATTCAAGCAACTACCATTTCCTTTCAAATCCTTTCCAATCTCACATCCGCCAATCTTAACTTCCATTCGTCGGTGTATATAGCCTGGATACTGACGTCACATGTTTCCTCTGCCGTTAGGCACCTGCTGGACACGTGAGTAGCCAGTCGCGCCACCCTACGCCTTCACGACTCGGTATGCAGTTGAGGAACCGCGCAGAGCAGGACACTACAGGTCGCGTGTTTGGAGCGTTTGCCGAGCTGTCGCTGTGATTAATTGGTTCGCTGGTTAATTGACAGGGATTTAATGGCGCGGATGAACTGCGAACAGTGTGTGGCTCGGGGAGACAGGTGATGATGAATGTGGGACGGAGAGATCGGCGAATAACGAATTCTGTAAAGAAGTAATCAGCCATAACAAACAATGGAATATGCAGCATTATTGCTCTGGAAAGCGGACGGGGTGATATGGGGTTTCAGCTCACCAATAATAATAGATTTTCCTAATTTAATTTTCTCCACTTTTCGTGATGAATTACATTTATATCTGGTATTTGGTTTCCTGGGGAGCCGGGCTAGCGCAGTCAGTATAGTCACTGGCTACTGGCTGGATGACCAAGCCCCCCAAGGTTCTTCTCCACGTCGTCCAAACCGGCTCTGGGGTACACCCAACCTCCTGTCCAATGGGTACCGGGGGCTCTTTCCCCGGGCGAAAAACGGCAGGGGCGTGAGACTGACCACTCACCTCCAATAAGTACCGAAGCCAAGAAAATGTGGATCTATACATCCACTCCTCCATACGCCTTCATGGCGTGGTGCTTAAATAGTTAAGCACAGGGACAACTTTACCTTTAACTTTATTTTGTTTCCTGCACAATTCCGGACATACAGCACTGGACACGCCTATGGAGAACTGTTAAATCTTCTTGAGACACACACAAAAGTGCGTTGGTTTACCCTGTAGAATGTATCGGACAATATGACGCATGTACTTCTCCCAGCCGGAGATAAAGACGGTGGTATAACTGTCCGGGTTAACCCGACCTCCAGCCTGGGCGGCGTTGGGTAAGGATAGGCAGCTCAGCAGGTAAAGGCTTCACTCTGTCTGAAGGGTCGCATTGACGGGGACACACACCGCTCGTGCTCCGTACGGCAGGTCACAGTGATTCACTGCGTTTATGCTACTTCGTCAGTTTACACCCTTAACAGTGAGTTACTTAGTTCGCAGAGGCGACCAGGCGTAATGACAGGCTCTGTTTCTGCCGCGCGTCAGTTCCCAAGTGGCGAAACACGTCCGTCGACCGGTTAAGTTGACACAAAAATCTCCACCCCCAACCCCCGAGATGACTCGTACCAGCGGCGCATCACCTCCGAGCAGTGGCGTCCGACGCTAACACCAGTCCCTCATTGCCAGTTGGCTGGATTCGAACCGAGTTCCTCACCCCTACAGAGAATGAAGGCATTCCTGTTGGTTAAAACCAACGCAGGTCACGTGATCCTATGTAATGCATTTCACTTCTGGAAGCCATCAGCACCAGGATCTCATATTCCCTGCTCCAGACCTCACAAAGTAATTCCAAGCTCCGCGCATGCTCACTGCAAGCCCAGTGAATGCATAGGAGTGTAGATGTGCATAGACTTATATGCGGTTACATGGGGCAGGTAGGGGCTAGCTTCTCTGTGATAGTGGAACTTGCATTTGACGTGACGTGACGTGGCGCGTTGGGAGGGACACGCGGGGACTGGGAACGCATTCCGGCCAGCCGCAAGGGGCAGGACGTTGCAGCAACTTCACGGCGTTCACCTCACCCGGAAACTTAGCTGATCCGGATTTTTCTGACGTGCTCACATTCCTAATCTCTTGAACTCTGAACTTCATTTAAATGATACTTAACGAGAAGTTCTGGGAAGCACTGTTCGCCTGCTTTCCTTTGAGACGTCACGGACCGCATAGACAACAGCACCCGCAACAATTGTTCGTGATTACACACAAGAAGCAGCAGATACGACAGAAACAATACTACTGTAAGGGTCTCAGTGGCCTTGGCATCTTAACGGAAATCCGCTCCTGAAATGAGTTCTGTGTGCGTCTGGAAGCAGGGAGACGGACATGTAACCGCGCGCTGACATCAGACGCAGCAGGTCTCCCTGTGTACGCTGCTGTCTTATTATATGTCGGTGATATTTCACGAGTGGTTTAATTAAATGCTTCTGTCCGGGGCCCCTCCCGGCCCATCGATCACGTGGGAGCCGCGGGCCTCTCCGCTTTGCACCAGACTGTCTCGCATGTACACTCCCTGCCTCGGTGCAGTGGCGGATGTCTGCGGGTGGGAAGTAGAGAGGAAACGGGTTCCCAGGCTTCGCCCGTTCACTCTTCTGTTAGGGCAGTGTGGACGTGAAGGCGTTAGGATAGTTAGAGACAGGGTCCGGGATTTTTTTTTCTGAATTAATGCCGATGTATAATTTGGAAAAATTGTTGTAGAGTTTTTTATGCAGTTCGAACTCTCGTTCCCGAAATTCGTTTTTAATTATACGACTAAACGCGCGGTCTCAGGCATGAACCGTCTTCGCCCACTCGAACGCTGGGGTCGTGGGTTGGAATCCCACTCGAGATATAGATATATGTGTGTAGGTAGCGGCCTTGCTGCCGGCTGATCCCACCGACCGCGTGTATAGGATTGCGGCCAGGGCCCAACAGAGTGAGCAGAGCCAGCGACAGACGTCTGAACACGCGAGTAGCCTGTAGAAGCGCATCAGTTTATCACGAGTAAGAAACAGTTTTGCCTGTACTGGCCACCATCAGAAGACGAAACCTTGGACTGGTTGCACTTGATGGACTTCTGTTGCATATTTATATATAATTTCTCCACTTTATTGTCATGCCTTCTTTGAAGTATCAACCGCTATACCCTTTGCTGCAGTGAACACGCGGCAGCGCAGTTGCTACAAGCCTGAAGGTCGCGGGTTCGATTCCCGATGAAGCCATTTGTCTTCTTCAGTTCACCTAATCGTTCCAGCAGCACTATGACCCTGGGGTCGACTCAGCCTCTAAGAGAAATGAGTACCAGGAATATTCCTGAGGGATAAAGGGCGGTCAGCGCGCAAGGCTGAAAACCTGAACATCATCTGTGAGCCGACTGTCTAGAGAAAATGTGGGAGCCTCGACGTCTCACACCCCTATGAGCCTCCACGGCCTGTTACGGAGGTAGCTTTACCTCTATGTACATGTATGGATGCAAGAAATGCAATCAAATCCTCAGGGGAAGAACGGGCAATTCTCTCAGATTTATTCTCCGTAACGACGGTACATATCTACCAGACTGCACGTTGTCACACAGTCTCAGTGTACACCGCCGTAAGAACCCAGATCTCGCTCATATAACAAGTGAGCCTTGCATTGCGCAGGCGTAACAGAGACAGGAGCTCAGGACAGTGTCGCGGCCCACAAGTTGAGAACCACAGGGCCACGCCACTGACGCCTGGAGCGTCCTGCCCTATCTCGTTTTACTGACAATATCTCCTGGAAAACTTCCAGTGGGGCAAACTTATATTTTTATTGTTACCGGGCGGGGAAGGGGGCGCAGAGAGCAGGAGACAACAGCCTGCACAGCATCGAGACGTCCCGCGTTTATATTGCCTGCCTGCTTACGGCTTCTGAGTGCCGACGTTTCGAAGGAACGTCTGTAGATGGAAGGCAGAGCGTTGGTACTCACCGCTCTCGAAGTTGGTTATTTAACGACGCTGTCAGGATCGAGCCCACACAGCCCCAATGGTGAGATGAGTAATCATTTTGAAGCGGTTGGTGGAATGAGAATTGGCAAGGGAAACCGAGTGCCACTTTGTCCACCACAAATCCCATGTGACCTCTCTGCAGCTGTTTAGTGCTCACAGTCACAACCAAATTCCTGTGAACACCTTCAGATATTCTGGAGGTTTCTGTCGCGAATTGGGAGGTTTTGGTCGTGAGGCATTTAGTGACGGGGCGATTTACGGACATCTCATAACCCCATGGGCCTCCACGCCCTCTTACAGGGGTAGTTCTATCTTTTTACACGGCGTTATATCGCACGAGATAGAACTGTTCGTAGCCACCGCTGTGATAACCTCAATATTTCAAAGGAACAGTTGGAGTCCCCGCGTGGAGGCGGGTTCGAGTACCTCCACCGTAGCCCTGCGAGCCCTATGAGGCAGCGAGAATGGAACCCAGTGCTAGGGGTGTAACTGGGCCACCCTGTTCCTGGGGATATAAGTACGGAGGACATGGTCCTCTAGGTTGGGGGAGTCTCGGATCTGAGACACTAGATTATGGTCATGAGTCCCGTGGGCCCCGACACCTGAAACTCGGACGTCTATGTAACACGCCTTTCGCTGTTTCACGGCCCGTCGGGACACAAATGTGACTGAACTCTCGCTCGGTAAGAGCGGCAAGCAGAGAAGTGCACCAGTCAGCGCGCTGCTGTTTGTTCTGCAGTGCTGAACTGGCGGGAAATATTGCGGTCCCGGCAAATAGAAGAGGCTGCGGGAGGGGGAGGGCATGTTTGGAAACGTGGCAAATTGGCGATAAAATGAAATATCATCAGTAGCGGCATGATGACACAGCGTATAATTCGTAACTTAACTGCTCTGAACAGAGACCGCCTTGAGAAGCTGGCAGTCGGTATTCTGTTCAACCGTGTTCACAACAGGGTGGCGACACGAAGCCAGTCGGCAAGGCATCCATCCTAACAGTATCCTGTCATCGGGACCTAGGATATTCTTTTATAAACCACGATGCAGAATTAACTTTTGCATAATATCACGTAGATATCCATAAAGCGGAATACTTCTTGAGAAACTACTAGTCGCTCGGCTGCTTAAGAAATTCCCGGCCTTTTATAAATTAGGAAATTGACAAAAGCCCACCGTTGCACCCTATCCTGGACGAGATGAATCCACTCTTAAGACAAATGTTAACATTCCATAACATGCAAGTTTCTTACTTTGAAGGGCCATCCCTTGTTGACAGTCCGCGACCAATACATTCGCATCCATACACAGGATGCAGTGTCCACATCCCGAGGAGGCCTGATGCCCTCCTCGTATCTTGCAGGGCTGTCTTCGCTGATGTCCAAACATTCGGCGCTCTGTAGTGTTTGGTAACTTAAGGCGTCATTAAATAAACCGGGAATGAATAAAGTATGACGGAGATTTTGATACAGATGGTTCAGGGACGCAGTCGAACTGACTTAAATTTGGGTCTCATTTGAGTTTCATTCTGCAGAAAATATATCCACATTGCCCCCAGATAAGCCAGATGTTCATTTGAAAAGTATTCAAAGTCCACTCCGTACCTCAGAGGAAACACACTTCGTCTCCATAACAACGCTCGACCGGTTAGTGCTGTTTAGGGAAATAATCGCTGTTTACTGTGAGAACCATACGGAACACATAAATACACTGTGTGGGCAGAATGCAGAGTTTTAGTATCTTGAAGCCCGTACCTCACAGGGAACACTCTGTCTCCATGACAACGCCCAACAGGCTAATGCTGTTAAGGGAAATAATAATAATAATAATAATAATAATAATAATAATAATAATAANTTCATCTCCTGCAGACAAAGGTCGACTTTTTTGGTCATTACGAGGGGCGATGAAAACGACACAATCTGTTGCTATCAGCCCGAACAGGGCTACCAACATTCGCAGTTACAGTTTACCTACACCGTAATAGCTGTAACTTCCTGTAGGGATCAGGTTTTTTGCCGCTTTCGCCGAAGAAAATTTGCAGAACTGCGTGTATCTGTCTGTCAGCATATTTCAAAATGGACGACTGGATTTTCGCGAAACTTTATCCGGCCTCTTTTACCCTGGGCTACTTTTGTGGAGGTAAAGCGGCCGGGGGGTGCCGCGGTTTAGAATGGTGGAGGCAGATCTCCACTAATTCCCATGTCTCCCTGGCGTACAGTATAATTACTTAAGCATTTACTGCTGTACTAACAGACGCGTTGTCTCGGTACCTAAGTGCATTTGTGCTCGCATCTGTAGCGTGCCTTCGTAAGTATTTGTCGCAACAAAAATGTTTCGGAGATAAGTTGTAAAGAGAAAAGAATGTAAACTTGGCTTTCGATGCCATTAACCAAAGGAGTGTTAACATGAACATGCCAGAATTGTTACGCAACCCGCCTCTATGTGCTCACTTGGTGTTTACGTGTGCCTTTTGTTTTCCAGACGGGAAGTACCACTTGCTGCCGACAGGGGAGCTGCTGGTACATAACTTGGAGTTCACCGATCAGTTCCCCTCGTTCCGATGCCGGACAATGCACCGACTGACGCGACAGGTAGTCGTCAGCTCGCCAGCCAACGTGCGCATCACAGGTCAGCAATCATCAAACTCATCATCTCCACGAACTTGTAGACTTGGTTCGTTAAGGCTCGGCCCTGCGTCGCCTGAGCTGTGAGCGTCCCCTCGCTCGGTAACGGAGAGCCACATGCAAGCAGTAGCACAGTAATCATTTTTTTTTATTGCTAGAGGGGTGGGACTGAGTCCCTTGTACTGCAGCCACTTCTGGCCTCTTGTACCAGCCCCAGATGATAGGTGAGGGTGATTGTGGAGCAACTGGTGGAATGAAGATTGGCAGGGGAAACCGAAGTACTCGGAGAAAACCTGCCACAGCGCCACTTTGTCCACCACAAATCCCACTTGACCAGACCCATCACGGAACCCGGGCTGCCGCGGTTGGAAGCCAGCGACTAACCGCGTGAGCTATGGCGCGGCCCATATCCAGTGGGCACCTCACCTCCATCTAGTGCCGAGGTCAAGGCCAGTCCCCCGTATGTCTTCATGCAGTAGTGCTTAACTATTTAAGGCCGAGGACAATTGTAGCTTTACCCTATACGAGGGCTATTCCGAAAGTAACCTCCATTTGTTTTATGCAACTAATGTAGGAGTGGGGGAGAGTTCGCGCATGCGATGTAGCGTCACGACTCTGCCTTGCAGACTATCACATACCTGGTCACCTAGTGTTTGTTCTTGTCTCTGCAGTGTGAGTTATGCTGTGTTCTGCGATCGATAATCCCGCCAGCTGCGAAATTCGCGCTGTTATCCGCTTTCTTCACGCTAAATACATGCGCGGCTCACGGCCAAGGAGCTGTGAGGCTGTGATGTAGAATGATCGAGGATTGGCGAGCAGATTTTCACGACGAAGAGCGAAGTGATCGGCCGGCCGTCTCTAGTGAGTGATGATCTTGAAAGTGTTGACGAAAGAAAGTTGTGATAGACGGCGCTTCACAATTTGCAGAGGCTTCACGCACTTATCCCCGCGAGATTATCATAATTAGGCTAGGCTACCAGGCATTCCGAAAATGCTCAGGGGTGCACAGAAACGCAGAAAATGACTTCGACTTTGACTATTTCTAAGTGATACCACAAAGATCGCAATGGGTTTGTCAGTCACATGATACTAGTAAGAGGTTGCATCTGTGAGTGTCGAGACCAAGGAGCAGTCAAAGAGCGGTGCAGACATTCAGCAAGCAAGTCGAAAGAGTTGAACAGCGCTCTGCCAGGAAGTTCATGGCAGCTGTTTTCTGGGATAGAAGGAGTGCTGATCATGGGGTTCACGCAACAAGGGACCACAATAACGTCAGAAGTGTATTCTGAAACAGTAAAAAAATATGTAGGGCCATTCAGAACAAAAGGCAATGGAATTCTGCCATCACGTGTAATTCTCCTCCATGACAATGCGCGTCCGCATTCTCGAGTACTGCTGGAGCATTTTAACTGGTAGTTGTTTGACCAGCCTTCTTACAGCCGAGCGACTACCACCTGTTTCCCTGGGATCACAATGAGGAGCTATAAAACTGATTCTCCTGTACGACGAGTGTCTCAACTCCGGCCTTGACTACGTTGAGAAGTAGCTCAGGTATGTACAATAAGTTCTGTCTGTCTCTGACAGCTGACAGGAGGTTACATATCTCTTCACGTTCTGCTGTTCATGAAAGATAGGCGAGGCCTTCACTCGGCCTGAGTATGCAACCCGCTCCAGAACAGTAGGATCGCCGCTGCGAGAGCATTAGCATGGGCAATTGAGTGCTGTGGGGGGGGGGGCAGCATTGCAGGAAACAAGGAGAAAACTTCTCCCCTCTGCTGAATCGCGCACAGAAATGGACGTTTTGGAGTTCAGAATTGCCCCGCTGTTGCAGGAACGGAAGAGAGTTCCCCCCCATCCCCGACTTTGATGTCTTCATAAAACGGGGCAGAACTTTTATTAGAGCGCATCTTACACAGCGTGTTGGGTCGAATGTACTTTACTACCGTATTTCTGAAACGTTTAAAACAAAGTTACTTCAGAATTATTAATATTCTGACGTGAACAGGCGCAGTGACGTGTGCGAAAGCTGAAGAAGATATCGGGCCCGAGAGACACAGTGTGTTCCTAAAATTAGTAGCCTCGTATTGTTCGGCCGATGCTCATAAGCATCTTGCAAGAAACATGAGCAAATGCTACCAAATTTTAGTCGCGGAATCTGAAGAGAAGACACCACTTGGAAGATCTAAACATAGATGGGAGGATAGTACTGCAACGGAGCTTATAGAACGGTGTGGCAATATGAGTTTGATGGGTGTGTCTAATGGTAAGGTTCAATATCGGGCTTTTGTGAGTACTGAAATGAAAGAAATCTACTTCAAGCTTGAAGCCGGAGGCTCCCAGAGCCGTCAAACACTAAAATGTTGTCATGGTTTCCATGGGACTCGGAATCAAGATTCACTGTGCTGGCGAGGGCCAGCAGCGTCAAGAAGTGGTACATATAGCCAAAAAAGAAAACACATTCGCATCTTCTGGCAGTAAAGATACCAGGGGAAGCTGCTCATGTTGGACCCAGCGCTGATGCCTCATGGCAGTTGCACTGCCAACTGCAGCGGGACTGCAGACAGTTAGGAGCGGAAGCACAAGCAAGATGATATCACCCAACAAACCACTTGTCTTCCGAGAGCCGGGATAGCGACGGGCTGCACGCCCAAATCCGGGAAGGGAAAGAGCGGCCGGGCCGACTCTGCTATCCAGTGGGTACGGCGGCGTGAAGCTGACCACTCACCTCTGTCTAGTGTTGACGTTAAGAATGGTGGAGATATACATCCACTCCCCTATACGCCTTCACAGGGACAAGTTTACCGTTTCCTTACATCAGGGTACAAGTTCTCAGCCAGGCACTGACGTCACTGCTACATGTGTAGGTCCATGCAACCGAGCAGATTGGTCGCCGGGGAATTTCCTTCCCAGCTCCAACTCGTTATTAAATAACGAGCCTCAAACCAAGGTTCTACTGCGCCCCAAGGACCAATCAGTTCCGGGCTAACAGCCAGGCGAGGCGAGGGTAGACATGTCAAGCGAGCAATGTCATTATAGCAGTGGTGGCCAAACTTGCACGGCGGCCGAGCGGCCCTTGAGAAACCACATCGGTTAGCGTCGCCACATTTGTCTGGAACCGCCGAATGGATTTCCGTTAAATTTGGAATTAGGGAATTTCACTAAATTTTGTGGACACGTTCCACTTCTGGTTGGAACCAACTTGGATGCATAGTTGCGTGCACGAGGAGGGAGCGGTAACCCCCACTCACGGGAGCAAGTTGCATAATATCTCGCCGTTGTTCTGCACAGGCGCTGAAGTCCGCGCACTTCGCAGATCCCATCTTCAGGGTCAACTTTCCTCTTGTCATCTACTTTCTGGTCTATTGCTTGACTTAAGGTGGAGGCGACATGTTCCTCCGAAACGTCGGTTGACTTTCAACGGCGTTATATCCCGGAAGATGGAACTCTTTAATACATTTCGTCTACTGGAACACGTAAGTGCCGACAAGGCTCAGGCAGAATACAGTTTGCTCTCTGCCGCTGTGGGAAGTCCCGAACTGTGTTCTGCAGAGCAGACTGGTGACGCAGGGATCACATGTCGAGTTACGTTCAGCGTGTTGTGTTCGTGTTGCGATGTGGCAACCAGTGCTCTTAGTGCAATACACTGATAAATAAAGACATCTAAAATTTCATGACCCCGTATAGGCTGTACTTTCAAGTGGATAGTGATAGCAACTGGAGGGAACTTGAAATCATTTCCGTGACCTTCATTTTCTTGGTATCGAGGCTACGTACTGTCGGATAGTAGAGTGGCCGGTAAGTGGTGAGTTGACTATCCCTGTAACAGGCCGCGGAAAACCATAGGGTTGTGAGACGTCGAGGCTCCCACATCTTCTCTAGACAATCAGCACACACATGGCGGTGAAGTTGTCAGCCTTACGCTCAGGTCGCCCTTTACCCCCAAGGAATATCCCTGGTACTCATTTCTGTTAGAGGCTGAGTCGGCCCCAGGGCCATATTGCGGCTGAGAGGATTAGGTCAATTGAAAATTATGATGACCTCATCGGGAATTGAACCCGGTCGTGGCCTGATTTGGATACTAACTCGGCCTGTGGACCTTAGCTGTACCCCAAGTTGTTGGGTCGGAGCGCCGCATTGGACACCACTTGTGTGAGTGCTGCTAAAGTGGAGCGTTACTGCGCTTGCTCGGAATATTATTAGCATAAAAACTGGCGAGAGTTTGAAGCAGTCCATTCCGAGGAAGAAACAGATCTTGTAATGGCTGGATGGAATGGCCCTGAATCCTTGGGACCACTCAACTATCTCATTCGCCCTGTTCTCTATGTCTCCGGGACTGCAAATGATTCTCTTTCTAACATACGAATTGCTCGGCTCATTGCATGGAAACGCCGTGACGGGTAGGCAACTTCACCGACTGCTTTGTGTGTAAGTAGTCTAGTTACGGTTGACAGGCGCTGTCAGTGTTTAGTGCCCGCATTAGATTAAGAGGGTGAAATACACGCGCACCGTGACACTTGCGGTGTCTTCGCGCGCTTATGCTTAATTATCAGGAGAAAGGTGTAAGGGGCATAAAACACGTGTACATTATTTCTCTATAAGTTGCTTTCAAAATATATCTCGCTCCGATAAACATTCAGCACAGAGAAGTTCGTGTAGGTTTTCAAGTGGTATTGTTCTCTGATTGTAACCCAAATCGATATGTATCGACAAACTTTAGCAAAAGACCGTCAGTATCAAATTTCGTGGATATTCGTTTTTGGTTCTGCAATGTTACAGACAAAAATGAACAGATTGACCCGAAAGTCGGTGGCCCTAACTCCTTCTGTCACATTAACGGAACTCTTCAGGTTCAAGCCTCCCGTTGTAGAAACACGTCACAGCGTTGAATATGGAGGCTCTCATGTGGACGGTTTCTGTAAGTTCTGCATGTACTCACATTTCTAACGCATTTTAATGTGGATATTACTAAACAGTTAACAGTCTTTCGGGTCAGTCTGTACATTAATT